GGGTCTAGGCCCGAAACGTCAGCTTTCCTGCTCCTCTGATGTTGCTTGGCCTGCTGTGTTCTTCCAGCTCTACACCTTGTTATCTCAGATTCTCCAGCATCTGCAGTTCCTACTATCTCTGTGGCAGCTTAAATGGCCTTCTGCACTGTAACCATTGTATGATAGGTGCGGAATCTCATTTCTTCAAAACTTAATAATAGATTTTTTGAAAAATTAATTTTCTCCAATTTTCTCTCAATTTCTAATTTATTTTAAGTCTCTACAAATTTACTTTCTGTAAATTACGTTGGCTTTAATTAAATATTCTAATTCATAATTCCTGGTTTACACAATGATTCTACAAGCCATTGGATGAATACACGCATGGTTTACATAAGCCATCACTCCTGTAGCAAACACCATATTGCACAGAATCTCTAAATATTTTAAATTTTTGCCCAAATCAAACACTAAATATAATGTAAATGAATTCCATTCCTTTTTTGGTTATGGTGAAACCTAGAACCAAGATCTTTTTTCATACTGCTAAGTACATTACATAGCTTAAAGGAAATGAGTATTCCCGCCATCATACTTTTCACAATACTGCGGAGAATTCCAAAATATCCATAACTAACTCATGGCAACTAGAAAACACACATTCATAAAATTGGACACGCAATGGAATTCAGATTATTTTACCAAGCAGCAGCAGGCTGATACCTTAAAAGCAACTGTTGCATTCATCCATTATTAGGTCTAACTCATGAGGAAGGCACATATTGACTTGGAGCGCCAACATGTTAATGGTGAGTGCAACTTCCCAATCTCAGCCACACTGCTGCGGAAGGAAAACTGGAGGAAAATCATCAGTGCAGTGCTACTGGTGCACCACCTGGTAACTATCAAGCGAGGCAGAGGCCAAGGAGCAGCAAGTGTGCGGCTCAGTTTTACTATACCAGGAAAGGAAAAAGCAAAAGGGAAGGGACTTTACCGTATGTGAAAAATCACGTAATAAGATACTCCTGCATATAGAGTCAAGCTAACTGAATTGAAAAGACTTAAAGACACTAGAAAGTGAACTTACCTAGACATCACAATGAATATACAGTACCTCGTGCAGCAGCTGATAAGGGATGTAAAGCAGGAAATTTTTTTCCCCTTTTTACAGATGCTGACCTGTAGTCACCTAAGCATTTTTGGTTTCAGTACAGGCTATGCTACTGCAAAGTCAGTGCCAGCTCTGCCCATATGTGTATATATGGCCCACTGCTGTCCAAGGAACGCTCACCATCCTCATGCCACTCAGCATGCCCCCCCACAACACACACACACACACACACACACACACACACACACACACACACCCTGCTCTGAATCCCTCATCGCCTCCGGTTCCCTCACTCCTGGCTCATTAAGAGGAACAGTAAGAGAACATGACAGCAAGCAGGAAGGACGCAGTGTGGGGTCAGCACCAGGCCAATGTAATGTTTGGAGTGGGGCTGCGTGCAAGTCATGATCCCAGGATTTGAACTCATTTAAAATATTTACAAAACTCTAATTATATTGCTCCTATTCTGTGATGCAAGAAGCAACCCTGCAGCGATATCACAGGCTGTACTTGCTGTGAGAATGTCCCCTGCAGTTTGTGGTGGCAACAAGCACACCTTTTTAGTTTTTATTTCACATTTGCAAGCTTAACCTCTTTTCATCAGAGAACAACAATTTTGTAAAAGAATTCTACCACCATAACTAAGTGTTGGGCGAACCTTCTCATTCCCCTACATTCAAAACATCACAACATGTGAACGTAACGTCATCATGAAAGAAAATCATATCAATTCCTCACTATTTTTAAACTAAAAAAGGGTTTAACATTTTGTTGACCACTAAAGAGCTACACCCAAGGTACAGTTAGACATTGTAGATATGGCATGGGGCAGATAAATTAAGATGGACTAAAAGGTTTCTGAGATCTGTTTATACCCTGCTATATTCAAATACTGATCTAATGCTGATGAGATCACAGGAAACAATTACAGATTACTTCACCAGTTCACAGGGTATGTTTGCAGATTGTTCTTGTATTTTATGAGTGTGAAGTGGGTATGAACGAAAAATTAAGGAGTCAACTGAAATCAATCAATCCAAAGTACTAAAAGATGAGGGGGGGGGGGAAAGGACAAGAGATGCCTGGGGGGTGTTTGAACCCAGACTCCGGCGACAATCAGGCCCGAAACCAGCATCAAACCCATTGCGAACCTCATGCTGTCATTTCGAACTGCTTAATCGCCCCCACTCCACCAGACAGTTTACTTTGTCCATGATCAGCTCATTACCTCCGCTGTTTCTCATCCTCTATCTCCTTTATCTTCTTTACGACAAAAGACCGAAAAATCTCCTCAATGTTGGTCGCCATGGCGCTTCCGCTGCCTGAGGCCTCTCACGGCGAGCCTGCTCTGGCCTCCTCCCAGCCACCAGAGGGAGCACTACCTGCTCTGAGCACCTCCCTGTCACCAGAGGGAGCACTACCTGCTCTGAGCACATCCCAGCCACCAGGGGGAGCACTACCTGCTCTGACCAACTCCCTGCCACCAGAGGGAGCACTACCTGCTCTGACCTCTTCCCTGCCACCAGAGGGAGCACTACCTGCTCTGACCTCTTCCCTGCCACCAGGGGAAGCACTACCAGCTCTGACCCCCCAGCCACAAGCGGGAGGAATACCTGCTCTGACCCTCTCCCTGCCACCAGGGGAAGCACGACCTGCCCTGCCCTCCCAGTCTCCAGCGGGAGGAGTACTCGCTCTGACCTTCTCCCTGTGGCAATGGGTGGTAGCTCTGCCTGCTCTTACCACTTCCCATCCACAGGGGGAGCTCGTCCTGTACTGACGCCCTCTCTGTCACCAGGGGGAGCACTACCTGCTCTAATCTCCTCCACCGTTAGGGGTAGCAGCAAGGTTTTATATCAGAGATAGTAGGAACTGCAGATGCTGGAGAATCTGAGATAACAAGGTGTAGAGCTGGATCAAGCAGCATCAGAGGAGCAGGAAAGCTGACGTTTCGGGCCTAGACCCTTCTTCAGAAATGGGGGAGGGGAAGGGGGTTCTGAAATAAATAGGGAGAGAGGGGGAGGCAGATAGAAGATGGATCGAGGAGAAAGTAGGTGGAGAGGAGACAGACAGGTCAAAGAGGCGGGATTGGAGCCAGTAAGGGTGAGTGTAGGTGGGGAGGAGATAGGACGGACAGGTCAAGGGGCTGCTTGGCCTGCTGTGTTCATCCAGCTCTACACTTTGGTATCTAAGGTTTTATATCAGCAGTTTTATATCAAATGTCTGACGAGAAAAAGAAGTGATCTAATGCAACAAAAACAAAGTTGCTGGAAAAGCTCAGCAGGTCTGGCAGCATCTGTTGGAGGAGAAAGCAGAGTTAACATTTCGGGTCCGGTGACCCTTCCTCAGAACAGCTGATCTCCTTTCCAACTGGAGGAGATGTTTTGAGAGACAAGTAACGTTTGAGAACAGCTGATATCACTCAGTTGAGGGTAGCAATGTGGACTGGCACAATCCAAGTTCCAGTTGCTGAGGAACACACACAGCAAGCTGCATCAAGGCCGAGCAGGGAAATGCTCGATAAGCAAAACGTTCATTCAGGAAGGCACTGAACACATCAGGAAACAATGTTGGGAGTACACAGAGTGTCCAAAGGAGTACGTGAACTTCCAACTGTTTCATCTACTTGGTGTGGTTAGCACTGCTGCCTCAAAGCGCCAGGGCCTGGGGCTCAAATCCAGCCTCGGGCAATTGTGTGTGGAATTTGCATTCTCCTTGTGTTTGTGAGGGTTTCCTCTGGGTGCTCTGGTTACCTCCCACAGTCCAAAGATGTGTGGATTGGCCATGCTAAATTGCCCATAGTGTCCAGGGATGTGTAGGTTAGGTGGATCAGCCCTGGGAACTGCAGGGGTAGGGTAGAGGGGTAAGTCTAGGTGGGATGCTCTTTGGTGAATCAGTGTGAACTTGTTGGGCTGAATGGCCTGTTGCCACACTGTAGGGATTCTATGAATACCTGTGCCACAAATGACAGAGTTTACTGATTGCACATTGCACTTATAAGTGCACATAAGTGTACAAAGAATGTTTGACATGAAATGTGTAAGTATAACCTGCAGTGGGACACCCTAGTGTGCTTCATACAGTAATGATTAAACTGTATAGTGCCCTAAATAATTTCAAAGTTGTCATCTACTTTATAAATTTCTAAAATAATGTTTATTTTCTGAAAGCAACATTTCAGAAATTATCTATAACTCTTGTGGCATTTATCACTCACAGAGGGCATTGAATAATCACCAGCCTTTACACATGTTGTTATTAGCCATTAATGAACACTGCCAAGCTCAGATTTAACAGTAGATATTCTAGGTCCCTCTTGTGGTGCAGAGGTAGTGTCCCTACCCTTGAACCAGGAGGCCCAGTTTCAAGTCTCACCTGCTCCAGAGATGTGTAATAATATCTCTTAACAGGTTGAATAGGGGAAAAATAGGTTAAAATATATGTTAAAAACAAGTAGATGTTCTCTGACCTACCAAAAATTAAAAGGCAATGGGCCTGGTAATCCAGAATTCTGTGAACGTGGGTTCAGATCCCACTGTGGCAGATGTTAAAATTTGAATGCAGAAGTTATTGGACTTAAAAGAAAAATTAATTTATTACTGACCACATGACCATTATTGATTGTAATAAAGAACTCCTGTTCTTTAGGGAAGGAAATTTGCCATCCTTAACTGGTCTGGTCAGATGCGACACCAGACCTTTAGCTATGTGGTCAACTCTTAACTGCCCTCTGAAGTGGCCTAGCAAGCCACTCAGTTCAAGGACAAGTAGAGATGGGAAACGAATGCTGATCTGACTGTGATGTCATATTGTACCATACCCTTGATGACTTTTCAGACCCTTGTTTAACAAGAATCTATCCATCTCTGCTTTAAAAATATTCAAGGACATGAACCAAGGATAGAAATGAACTCAGTGGCGGTTCTCCCACAAGTGAATGGCCTTTCAACACTCACTTGGCACTTTTAAGATTTTCACTAAAATCTACTTCTTAATTATTTTGTCTAGAGCCTCTTTCAGTGGCTATGTCAATTTCAGCCTAGCTATGTGCCTGCAAAAAGCCATGAGATATTTCACTGTCACATATAAGTGATTGGGAACACCACCATCTGAAAATCCCTATCCAAATCTTTCACCATCATGACTTGGAAATATATTCACTGTTCTCTGTTGCTGTGTCCTTTCCCAAGTAGTATCTTCAACTCCTAGACTGCATGAGCTAAGAACAGCACCACCTTCTCAAGGGCCATTATAGATGGTAAATAAATGCTGTCCATGCCGGTAACGCTCACATTTTGCGAATACGTAAAAGAAAATGTATTAGCTTGGCAGATGAAGTATGAGGGTTAGAAGAGATTTCACAGATGTCTGGCACCCATAAAACTACATTAAAATATAAAACTATACCCCAGCAAGGAATCAGTGATTTAAGAGGAGGAATCCCAAACCATGTTAAAGTTCTTTACAGCAATGTTGTAATGTACGCTATCGGAATGTCCTGAAAAGCATCCGTGAAGAGGACAAACATCTTGGGAGTTCCTTGAGACTGATCAGAAAGGAAAGGGTTCATTCAGGAAGGCACTGAACACATTGAGAGACTTTGTCAGGAAAGGGGAGAGGCTAAGTTAAGGTGCCGGAGGGAAGCACACAAACCACCATCTCACCCACTCGACTTGCAAGCCAGACAGTGGCAGAGTCTGCACACCACCAGTTGGACTTATCCCCATCTTGGAACCCATCGAAACTGAGTGGAAGCAAGTCATCTTCAATCCCAAAGGATGGCTCGAGAAGCGACTACAAGAAACAACAGCAGTCAACATTGGTGTGATCATAGCAAATAATAATTTCTTTCAGTGAAATAAACAGCGCTGGAGAAACTCAGCAGGTCTGGCAGCCTCTGTGGAGCAAGAAACATAGTTAATGTTTTGAATCTTCTTCAGAATTGGAGAACTGGAGTTCCAACTGTGAAGAGTCATACCGAACTCAAAACATTAACTCTGTTTCTCATTCCACAGAAGTTGCCAGACCTGCTGAGTTTCTCTAGTGCTTTCTGTTTTTATTTCAGATTTCCAGCATGTGCAGATTTTGCTTTTATTTCTTTAAGTGATGTTGATTGAGGGATGAATACTGGCCAGGACACTGGAGAGAACTCCCTTACATGTTCTCAAAATAATGCTTTAGTTGGGATCTTTTACATCTGCTTAAGAGAGCAGACAAGCCCCTGGTTTAGTGTCACATCCAAAAATACCTTTGTCATTACTGTAGTTGACTCATAAACCTACTGCACTGTATTTCTTAAAGTTACATCATGTATTAAGTAAACAAAACCAAGGAAACGAGTAAAATAGTTTACTCAGCAATGTAGCACTAGGTAGCATTGCTACAACATTGGTGTTAAACAAATACTAATGAGGATTAGTTTTTCTAGGCTGACAAAAGTGTTATTGTTATTTTAACCAACTGATACATAAAGCAATTAAAATACATGACATAGACATAAGAAGCAAACAATGCGATTCTTAAACCAGCATCGATGTGGAAGGAGTGTTCCCAGCTCTTTCAAGACTGGGGTTCCAAGAAACTCCTGGAAGTGGCTTCTTGACATGGGCCCATTGATGAGTCTGTGGGAGTCTCCCAGCGTCAGGCTCAGCCCATTCGATGAAAGAGGGCAGTCTGTCAAAACAGTAAATGCCTTAATGAATGACTATTTTTGGAGATGGTTGGAGGTGGGTGCAATTTCAGGTACTTCCCAGCCACTCCCCACTTGACAATTCCCATAGCCTGGCCACACATCAGAGGCAGACTTCATCAGTGAAGGTCACAGACCTCAGTGCACATCTGTATCAGAGATCCAAAAGGCTAAAAGTGGTACAACCATGGCCAAACATATGTCCGGGGAGGTGTGTTCCCCTCTCTTATACAGCCCTGTCAGTTCTGGGCTCTGCTTTAGAATGTGCGAGAAGCACCCTTTTGTGAATGACTCCACACCCCCCAAACACCTCCCCCCATCCCTCCTCCCTCCCCCCTTACTGTCTGCCTGAGCAGCACCCACCTCTCCCACCATGGCTGGTGGCCATTCCTCCAGGCTGTCCAATTGCCATCTCCTACATCTATTTCCCACTCACTAACTATTTTAATTGAACAGCAAACTCAGCAGCGGAAAATGAGTAAGCTATTTCTTGTAAACCTGCAGCAGTAAAGACACTGCAGAAAGACACAGGCTTGAGACCCACAAACAGTCCCAATGACAGGTTGCCAAAGGCCACAGGATAATTCATGCACATTGGACTGAATGCCCTCCTTATGCTCTGTATTGAGCTATGGATCTCCAGAAGCATACCTCAAGAGGGAGAATTAA